TATAACGGTACCCCCTTTATTCGGTGTTTTGATGATTTTAGCTACATTATAAACAGATTTTTCTTCAAGATTCGCATTTAAATATTGCAATAACTTATGACAAAAGTTGCCTATGCATGTCCACGTCGTCGTATAGGCATTCGGTATTTTTAAGATTTTAACAGAATTTTTAACGGATTTTATTTATTTATTTATTTATTTTTTTTTTTTTTTTTGGAAATTGCCAAATTTTTACGAAATGGTGGAGGTAGTAAAAGTTCGGCCCGGCCGAACTTACAGCTTTTTTACTTGTTGAATATGATATGTCTCAAATGGCCGCCTCTGGCGTTGATGACGTATTGTGCCCTTTTTGCTGCATTTTCCATCGTTTTTGCCAACATTTCGGCCGGAATAGCGGCTATTTCTTCACGAATGTTGTCCTTGAGCTCTTCTACGGTCCTTGGATTGTTAACGTAAACCTTGGACTTCAAATATCCCCACAAGAAGAAGTCAGGCGGCATCAAATCGGGCGAACGCGGTGGCCAGTCCAAATCACCACTTTTCGACGTCAAACGGCACGGAAATAAATTCTTCAGAAAATCAATTGTTATGCGACTTGTGTGCGGTGGAGCGCCGTCTTGTTGAAACCTGAACTGCCTCATACGCTTTCGATGAATAATTCGCAGCACAAAATTGGTCATCATGTCGCGATAACGCTCCTGATTGATGGTAATAGCATGGCCATTTTCATTTTGGAAGAAAAACGGCCCAATGACCGTTTTCGCACTAACGCCGCACCAAACTGTGGCTTTTTCGTCATGAAGAGGCACTTCTTAAATCTGCTGAGGATTTTCAGTGGCGTAAAAACGGCAATTTTGCTTATTTACGGTCCCATTCAATGTGAAATGGGCTTCATCGGACATGATAATTTTGTTCCAAGATTGCTGGTCATCTTTGGCCATTTCGATGACTCTTTGGGACCATTCTAATCGACGAGGCTTGTCCGCAGGCGACATTCTTTGCGTCACTTGAATTTTGTACGGGAACAAATGCAAATCAATGCGAATAATTCGTTGTAAAGTGGACCGAGCCATGCCCAACTGCTGAGAACGGCCATGCCCAACACTGGCTCGTACGGCAGCGATATTCTCGGCCGATCGCCTTGGTCGACTTTTTTATAGCCTCTTCAGATTAGAAAGAGCCTTACCAGTCGAAAATTTTTCGTATAAACGCTTAATGGTGTTCTTAATGTTTTAAAAGCACGTTGAGTTTTCACAATTGACTTCTTCTGTTGAATGTAAATTTCAGAGCGCTCGCGTGGCTTGTATTGGATCATGGTAAAAATCTGCTTGGACTGACACTTCAAACGCGGTATGTCATTAAACGATGTGACATCTCTGTCGTTGTCGTTGCCAGATGGGTCTGTCGAATATGGGCAACTCTGTAGTTTTGGAAATGTGTACTAAGTGTGCGAACTGTACTAAATTTAGAACAGTTTGTTTCAGGGAGAACAGATGACAGATTTGGTATTGCGTGGAGAGATGTTGATAACATTCTGAAATTTGATATTTAGATTACTGATGGTATCTGTGTTTGAGATTTGGCGGTGGTTTGGAAATGAGTCCGATATTTGCACGAAAAGTACAAATGGTATTAATTGTCGTAGGGGTCATGTGATAGAGCTGGAATACCGAATTTTGATATTGAGATCTCTCTTGGTATCTGGTGGTGATTTACAAATGCCTAATATGAATATTTAAAAGGTACTAAATGGTACTAATATTGCAAAACAGATCGTATCTATGATTAATAGATATATATTATTTTGGATATTGTACTAAATAGTACTTATCTGTACTGTATGGTACTTAACTTGGTACAATTTGGATTTGGGTGAACCGATTCTGAAATTGGGAAATAAGATTTCTTTTGAATTGTGGGATGCAGTTTGTTATGGATATTTGTACTTATGTGTACTAATTGGTACCAAGTTTGGAGAAATTGGAATTTTGGTGAACCGATAGAACTGGAATTCTGAAATTTGGAATGAAAGCCACTGATGGAGTGCAGAATAGATGTTACAAAGGATTTTTTGGAAATTCGAAATTTAAGATTACGAATAATTGTAAAATGGTACTAAACTTCTAAAATGGTACCATTTGGTATTATGTGAACGGATAGAGCTAAAAACTTAAAATTCGGTATGAAAATCAAGGTTAGAAAGTATCTTTGATAAATGAAGGTGGTTTTGGATATGTGTACTAAGTGTGCTAACTGTACTAAATTGTACTAAATTTGGAACAGTCTTGTTTAGGGTCAACGAATGAAGCTGGAATTTTTAAATTTTGTATTGGGGTCCGTGTTGGTGGTAGGTATGTTTTAAAAAGGTGATTTTGAAAAAGAGTCCTACAAGTGCACGAAAAGTACTAAAAAATTTGGTATTGGGTGAACAGATAGCACTTGCAATTTGAAAATTTGTATCAGGGTTGCTGGGATTTTGGGAGTATTTATGTAAATGATACTAAATTTGGTAATTAAAGAGCGGAATTACTGACATTTGATATTAAATGCACTTTTGGTATCTGAATATTAAATTGGGAGGTGGGTGTGGAGATGCGTACTATAGTTGTTCGCAAAGTACTAAATTGAACTAAATTTGGTATTGGGTAAAGGTATATACCTGAAATTCTGAAATTGTATATGGATGTCACTGTTGGTGTCTATGATAATGATTTGGCGGTGATTTGGAAATACGTCAAATATTTGTGCGAGACGTACTGTATGGTAATGGGTGGAGGAATAGAATTTAAATCCTGGTTTTGAAAAATTTTTGTCCAAGAATCGATGAACAATTTGTGCATTTTGAGTACTAAAATGAACTGATGGAATCTAAAATTTTAAGGTGGATTCGAGAGGCAAACTTATAAACGCATTTTCTCATCACAGGTCAATTGCGTATGTAACAAATCTTAAGCCGCTTTTTATACCCTACACCACATGGTGGTAATTTGATTATGTTTTTGTGCATTTGCTTGTAACAGGGGAAAGGAAGCGAGATAGGCCCGTAGGTACTTTTGAGGATCTTCATAGAATTACTTTCTGAGTCGATTTACGCATGTTAGTCCATGTATTTTTGTGAACAAAATGCAGGTCGCATTTATTATCCGATTGAGATGAAATTCTCCAAACAATATTTGGCCCAAGGACGAGCCCTATTGAAATTGGTGATAACCGGATCAGATTTAGATATAGCTCCCATATATCTTGAACCGATTTCAGGTTAATGGTGCACCAAATGGCCAATATAGGTCCAAATGACTTGATTTTTGGCATATCCGACCGAATTCAGTCTAGAAGCAAGTACATCAAATTTATTGAAAATCGGTTCAGATATAGCTATAGCTCCCATTTATATCATCCGATTTGGTGTTTAAGTCCCCCACATTCTTAATATACAACCCACAAGAATGACGTTTGATATCAGATACAGCCCAGAAATACCTCAGCCAAATTTTGTCAAGATCGGTTCCGATTTGGATATAGCTCCCATATATATCTTCAACCGATTTTGAGTTAATTGTGCACCAAATCGCCAAAATCAGTCCAAAGACCTATATTTTGGCACATCCAACCGAATTCAGTCTAGAAGTTAGTACATTGAATTCGGAAAAAATCGGTTCAGATATTGCTATAGCTCCCATATATATGTTTCATCCGGTATGGTGTTTAAGTTCCATATCCATTCGACAACAATGATATATGGTACCAAATATCTTATAGAGTTCCAAAATATATTTCAAATTTTTTCAAGATTGGTTCAGATTTGGATATAGCTCCCATATATATATCCTCGACCAATTTCGGTTTAATTGTGCACCAAATGGCCAATATCTGCCCAAAAGTCCTGAATTTTGGTACATCCGACCGAATTCAGTCTAGAAGCAGGTACATTAAATTTGGAGACATTTTTTTCAGATATAGCCATAGCATGTTATTTGGTGACAGATGTCTTATAAAGCTCGGAAATACCTTTACCCAATTTTATCGAGATTGGCTAAGATTTGGATATAGCTCCCTTACATATCTTTAAACCGATTTCAGGTTTATTGTGCAAATAATGGCTAATATCAGCCAAAATAGAGTGAATTTCGGGACAAACGTTTCTATTTTGTGTAGCTCGATTCCAATATATATTTTTTAATACAATCCTTCTTATGCACTCTACAGCAATGTTATGTGGTATAAAAGATTAAAATATCTCCGTCTAATGTAGTGAAAATTGATTCAGAATTGGATAAGTCTCCCATATATTAGTTCTCTCTGAAACAAAACTATAACTTCTACAAAGTCAAATGTTGATAGGTGGTATGATTTACTTTAAATAAATTCTTTGGTCTAGGGTATCATATAGTCGGCCCGCCCGACTTTTGACTTTCTCTTACTGGTGTGATAGAATTAGAAAAACTGTGTGATTTTATGATGAAGATTAGAAAAATGTCGAAGAACCTCTTTAATCGAATGTAATTTTTATTAAAAATTTAATTTAATTGAGGGTGGGAGCACTCTTATGTTGCTGGGTGATCTCCAATGAATGAAATAAACAAAAACAAGTATTAAGGTGGCCAAACAGAAATGTACCCACAAAACATATCACAAGCTCATACAACCCACTCATACCAAGAGAGGGCAAACAAACTTCTTTTGATCTAGCGGACAGTAGACAGTGTACTCAAACAAGGGGGCATTGAGTAGCAAAACATTGCATTGTGGGTAGCAAACATTTGTATGTGTGGGTATGTATGTGTGTGCCGGAATAACCATGCATATCGACTAAATCCCCAATAAGAATCAACGAGTAACAGAGAGAGAGTGAGAGAGGAGAGTTTGTTGGAGCCAACAGCAACTTGTTGCTGTTGTTTCTGTGCTGTGTACTCTATGTAACGTTTAGCCGTTTAATGCCGACGACGACGATGATGATGATGTTTTTGCAGAGCTCCAGCAGTGGGCCATGGCGGCAGCGTTCATTTAGTTTGAATCTTGAGCTATTGCACTGTAGATCGGTGAACGGAAAAAAGGCACTGCTTTCGGATAGGGGCGGTGTGTACTGAAACGGAAGAAGGAATTAAGTAGTGTTTGACGTTTACACATAAATACATACAGACATACATACTTGCAAATATAAACACAACTAATGTCTGCAACCAGTGGTTGTTTGAGAAAAAAAAGAGTGTAATTGATTTTAATTCAAATTAAATTAGAACACGGCCAGTGAAGAAATTGTAGAAAATTTATTCTAAATTGTGAGTTTTGTTTATTTTATTATATTTACAAAAAATGCACTTGTGTTAGTGTATTTAATTACAATTAAAGGTGAATTAAACAAAATTTCAGAAAAAAAAAACGAAAAATAAAAATTGTAATCAGCCGTGGTTTTCCAATGTCAGCATTTATTTGTGTTTAACGTTTAAAAATACCTAATTTAGTTATTGGAAATAATAAAAAAAAACGTCTGAATACCTAAATTTTGAATCATAATTACATGTGGTTAACCAATATTGCAAAGAAAGAGCAAAAAACGCCAAACAACAGACAAAACTGCAATTCAAAACAAGTTTCTGCTTTTAGTTTCTAAACTTTTGCAAATAATCGCACACTAAAAATACGTTACAAAAAATAAATAAAACGAAACGAAACAACAAACAAAACATGTTTTAAACCAGTGCTTCATCATCATCGCCACCATCATCACGAAAACAGACCACTAGCGATCAATAAACCCTTGAATCGTTTTCAGGTGAATTCAAACTGCAGTCCGTTATGGCTTTGAAGAATAATCATTTTTTGGCGCATTAAAACGTCGTTTAGAGCAATTAATCAAAATTTTTAAAATAAAACAAAACAACATCAGCTTTCAAAAATAAAAAAAAAATCAAACAAAACCGATTATAAGACACACTACTTCACTTCAGAGAGAGAGAGGTGGACAAAGTAAAAGAATATCGAGGCAAAATTAATCTGTGCAACAGAGGTCCTATAAGGAAATCAACGGATTTTCTACTAGGAGATCTACAGATCTTCCATGAGAAGATCAACAGATCTTCTATGAGAAGATCTACAGATCTTCTATGAGAAGATCTACAGATTTTCTATGAGAAGATCTACAGATGTTTTAAGAGAAGATCTACAGATGTTTTAAGAGAACATCTACCGATCCTCTATGAGAAAATCTACAGATCTTCTATGAGAAGATCAACAGATCTTCTACGAGAAGATCAACAGATCTTCTACGAGAAGATCAACAGATCTTCTATGAGAAGATCAAAAGATCTTCTATGAGAAGATCAACAGATCTTCTATGAGAAGATCAAAAGATCTTCTATGAGAAGATCAACAGATCTTCTATGAGAAGATCAACAGATCTTCTATGAGAAGATCGACAGATCTTCTATGAGAAGATCGACAGATCTTCTATGAGAAGATCGGCAGATCTTCTATGAGAAGATCAACAGATCTTCTATGAGAAGATCTACAGATCTTCTATGAGAAGATCTACAGATGTTTTAAGAGAAGATCTACAGATGTTTTAAGAGAAGATCTACAGATGTTTTAAGAGAACATCTACCGATCCTCTATGAGAAAATCTACAGATCTTCTATGAGAAGATCAACAGATCTTCTACGAGAAGATCAACAGATCTTCTATGAGAAGATCAACAGATCTTCTATGAGAAGATCAACAGATCTTCTATGAGAAGATCAAAAGATCTTCTATGAGAAGATCAACAGATCTTCTATGAGAAGATCAACAGATCTTCTATGAGAAGATCGACAGATCTTCTATGAGAAGATCGACAGATCTTCTATGAGAAGATCGACAGATCTTCTATGAGAAGATCGACAGATCTTCTATGAGAAGATCGACAGATCTTCTATGAGAAGATCGACAGATCTTCTATGAGAAGATCGACAGATCTTCTATGAGAAGATCGGCAGATCTTCTATGAGAAGATCTACAAGTCTTCTATAAGAAGATGTACACATTTTATGAAGGAAGATAAACAGACCTTATGTCAATAGATCCACAGATCTTCTATGAGAATATCCAGTGATCTTCTATGAAAAAATTTTTAGATCTCCTATGAGAAAATATGTAGATCTTCTGTGTGAAGATCTATGAAAGACTTAAAAATTATCTGAGATGTCGGAGATGACAAAACAGATCTTCTGTTAGAATCCACCCACGATTGTGCAGCGTAATATGCCAGTGTTCAAAGTATAATGAGAATTGCATATCCTCTGCATTACCAGTGCGATTCCTATAAAATGTCAAACCCAAAATAACTTATTCGTGGAGAGGGGATATCGAGCGAAGTAGGGAGAGCTTCGCTCGAAGTAGGGAGAGCTTCGCTCTTTGTTGGAATTCGAGCGAGTTTTTCGGAGGTCTGCTAAAAATTATTTGATATGGAGCAGTACTCTTATATGGGGACTTTAAAACGGCATGGGCTAATTTACCCATTTTTCACACAAATGATAGATTTCTCTACCACATTATAAAGCACTTTCCCTAATGTTGATTGACAACCTTACGTCATTTGTGAAGGTTTCGTATGTATGATATCCAGCCAGATATTTTTTATTCAAGTCCCTGCTGGAATGGCTTTTAAGCCATTTACAACATTGCTAGTTTTTTCAAGTGAAGGTACTTTCGCTTCAAAAACCATAATATCTTTCGTAATCAGGGCTAAGAGGATCTATCATTGGTAAAATATAAGATTAATCCAAATTGGAAGTAGCCCCATTACTCCATTGGAATATGTGGTCACATGTCCGGAACATAGGTATGTGACACAATCAAAATGCACAAAAATTTATTTTTTTTTTCGCAAAAATCTTTACTTTTGCATTTGTAAAAAACAAAAACAACAGATTAATTTGTTGTTGTTTTTAATTAAAACAAATGACAGAGAAGAGAATAAGATTAATGACAGTATCAATGCAATTTTAAATTTTTTTGTTAAACTTCATGTTATATATCACTTAAATGACGTCATATACATATACCATTTAAGATGTGACCATATGACGTTAATTTTGTTTCCAACACAATGACATAAACAGAGTGGCATCATCTTCATTATTATCGTCACCAATACAACCACCAACCAACAAGTGACAGCATCAGTACTAAATAGCCTCTTTGCAGTTATATCGTCGAACTTCAAGAGAATTATCGTCACAAAACCACCATCAGAGTTTGACTAATCTCTTCGTTGGCTTAATCATCGGCCAACTTCTCAAAATGTTTCTAAAATAAGTAAATGCCACCAAAACCAAAATTAAACACAAAAACGAAGAAAAAAAAAACAAAACCAGCAACATGTGGTTATTTCCATTTTAAGATCGAGTGGAAAGGTTGTGGGCGCATTTACAAACGTTTTTTTGAAAGTGACAACACACACAGTAAGTTTGCTGCAGACGACATGTTCGATGTGTAGGAAATGTTAGGCTTGAATAGGTCAAGAATTTTTAAATTTTACTCCCTTAATGTATGGCGTATTTTGATTACGAAAAGCTCAACATATGGAGTATAACACCGATTTTCTCATTTTCACATGGGAGCGGAACTTGCTTGAAGAGAGGGGAAGACTAGATGAGGGGGAGGGGTGTGAAATACAACAACTGTATAACAGAAACTAAAAGAGTGCTTGACAAGAGTAGAATCTCCTCGATTGACTTAATTGATCGAATTTTACTACCGCTCAAAAACGGGGAAACCACCTCACTCCTATTCGAGCAACATCGAAAAATAAAGTTTGCTCGTTTTTTCTGCCCCAGGAGTGGGAGCGCTCATTGCATTCGAGCAAGTTTCACTCTTCGTACTTTCTAGCGTTGTCCGTCTGTCTGTTGCAATCTAAAATTTTGCATACATGCCTAGTTTACCAGTTGGCAGGTTAAGTTCGTAAACGGCCCATGTCGGTTCACGTTTTCGTATAGCCACATAAAACGGTACCTCCCGATATTCGGTATTTTTATGATTTTAGCGACAATATTTAACGGAATTATTTCAAATTTCATATTTAAAGTTTGTAATGGGCACTACAGCCTGTAACAAAAATTTTTGTATGCATGTCCACGCCTTCTTATAGCCCCCATATAACGGAATCCCCTGATATTCGATATTTTTATGATTTCAGCGACATTATTTACCGGAATCGTTTAAAATATCGTATCTGGAGATCTTAATGGTTACTATTGAAAAGAAATTCGTATGCAGGTCAACGTATTCGTATAGCCCCCATCTAACGGTACCTCCCGATATTCGGTACTTTTATGTTTTAGCGACATTATTCACCGGAATTGCTTCAGTTTTGGTATTTAAAGTTCGTAATTGATACTACAGCCTATGACAGGAAATTGTCTGTCCAGGGCACGTCTTCGTATAGCCCCCATATAACGGTACCTCCCGATATTCCGTATTTTCATGATTTTAGCGACGTTATTTGCCGGAATTATTTCAAATTTCGTATTTAAAGTTCGTAATGGGTGTTAAGCCTATTACAAAAATTTTTGTATGTTGGCACCTCCCCATACCGGAATTGTTTCAAATTTGGTATTTGAAGTTCGTAACAGGTACTTAGCCTATGACAAAAAATTTCATAAGCAGGTCCACGTCTTTGTATAGTCTCCATATAATAGATTTCATTTAAGTGAAGTTTTTTTTTTTTTGAAAATTTTCAAGTTCCTTCCAATTGGTGGAGGGTATTTAAAGTTCGGACCGACCGAACTTAGCTGCTTTTTTACTTGTTTACATTTAATATTTTTGAAATTTTAATATCATACTTTTTAGAGCTGTTAACATTTTTATATCCTACACCACACTATGATCAGGGTATTATGCTCTTGTGCATTTGTTTGTAGCATGGAGAAGGAAACGAATTAGAGCCACAGTTACTTTTGAGGATCCTCATAGGATCAATTTCTGTGTCAATTCATGGATGTCCATTCGATTTTCTCGTCCGTCCGTCTGTTATTGTCCGATTGAGATGAAATATTTAATACATCATTTTTTTGGCTGAAAGACGAACCCTATTAAAATTGGTGATAATCGGTCCAAACTTAGGTATAGCTCCCATATATATCTTCGTCCGATGTCAACTTTATTTCGCGCCTAGAAACAAGTACTTCAAATTTTTTGAAAATCGGATCAGATATAGCTATATCTCCCATATGTTTCATCGGATTTGGTGTGTAAGCCTCTTGCATTTGTAATATACACTCTGTTGCTATTAGAGAGATTCAAGGTGACATCGTATAATCGTAGCCTCAGTCAAATTGTTGTGTAGTTTTTTTTTTTTTGCTGTTAGCCTAGTT